TCTATATAACTCTATATAACCATGCATACTACCACATTCAATCAATAAAAAATCCCACAAAAACCAGGAACCACCGCGTACCTGTTGAATGTATGTTGTGAAACAAAACAAAAAAATCACAAAACATAAAACACACCACCAAGTAGAAAAAAAGAATAGAAGTCCCTAACCTACCTATGTAACTAAATTACCTTATGCCCTAGCCTACCTATATAATAAATTAATTTTTACCTCACCTACCTATGCTTCATTAACTTAACTCAAGACTCATGATGAAAGAGAAAAAGGAGTAAAACAGAACATAAAATACTACCACACAAACATGATGTATGTATGCATGTATGAGCAACCGTTAAAGAACCCACCTAAAATTAAAAAAATACCACCTACTAACATTCAGACCACCTACAAACATGCAAACTCTATATAACTCTATATAACTCTATATAACTCTATATAATAAAATAAATAAAAATAAAAAAATTTAAAAATAAAATAAATGAGATCAGACAGACTGCTTCAAGCGAGGCAGAATGCTGATCTGATTTTCATGTTGTTTCAGCTCCTCTATTTATACTCGTTTCAACCATACATTCTCATCATTTCAATCATTCGCGTCAGTAAGAAACTTGTTTAATGTATATACTGCACTATTATACAGTCTTAACCACAATACTAACCGTACTAAATTGAAGTCATCGAACGAACGCCTTCGAAACTTTCTGGTTGGCTGGTTAAATCTGCTATATTGCTTTTCATATAAACATATAATCCAATATAATATAATTTAATTATTTGTATACATGGATTCCAGTCACTTTATATATATATAATAAAAATTCATTATAAAAGCAACAGTAATCAGTGCTATATATGTAAGCACGCAGTTCAAATTCAAAATTGTTTGAGACCACACCTTGCTTAACATCCGATTCCAAGCCGAGCCAAGCCAAGCTGAGCCAATATGCATAGATTTAAAAGCGCTTTTATGTTAATATTTTGCTTATATTTATATATTTTATAAATTCATTATAAAAAACAACAGTAGCCATTACTATATATGTACGCACGCAGTTCAAATTTTTCTGAGAGAATTCAAAATAGTTAGAGCGCTTTAATGTTAAATTTTTGTTCGTTATATTTATATATTTTATAAATTCATTATAAAAACAACAGTAATCATTGCTATATATGTAAGCACGCAGTTCAAATTTTTCGGGGAGAATTCAAAATAGTTTAAGACCACACCTTGCTTAACACCGATTCCAAGCCGAGCCAAGCCAAGCTGAGCCAATATGCATAAATTTATAAGCGCTTTTATATTAAAATTTTGCTCGCTTTTTAAACGAATATCCCAATATAACATATTCTCCATCCTATTTTAATTTTCTTTGATGCTTTTTAATCAGTCAGGTAACAAAAATCATTATCGATATGAAATCAATTTGAAATTTTTTTTAATTATTGATAAAATTTTTAAATTGTTGATAAAAATAACTAGTATATATAGTGTAGTAAAACGTTTAAAATTTTCTAAGAGAATTCAAAATAATTTAAGACAATCACATGTAAATAATATAAATCGCATACATGCAATAAATATTGATAAAGAAAGCTGTCTGATTTAGCCGAAGTCTGCTTGCTCTCATAAAAATAAGGTTCACTTTAAAAAAGTGTAAAATATAAGTATATACATAATTACATATATACAAGTATATTTACAAGTATATACATAATTACAAAAGTGAATATTTATAAAAGTGACAGCCCTTTTATAGGTTCATGTTGTTTCCCTGGAGGCTGACGGAAACCCCTGGCTTTGAAATGCTGGCTCTTTTCATCGCTTTTACTTTTCTATTCAGTTCATCCAGCCTGGTTAGTTTTTTTTTTCTTGACCCACCCTCCGCTAGCCCACCTTCAATCTTCCATTTTGGTCGAATGATATATTCCGTGAGGGATGGTTCCGGTACTCTAGCTCTATCAGCCGGATTCGTATCTTCCCGCAATAAACGTTGTTCGTCTTTCTTCTTCACGGTTAAGGCTCCGGTAAATCCGACGAGTTCACCGGAGGAATTTTTTTCTTCCTGCTCAGTTTTTGAGGTGAGTTTTCGTTTTTTAGGACAGCATTTTAAATCTCTCTGCTGTCGCTCTTCTCTTGTGAAATCTTTGAAAGAAGCATCTTGACAAAATAATCGTTTGGCCCACCTTGTTATTAATTGCTGACATCTACCTTTGTTAATGGCGGTTTCCTTTGGGTGTTTGGAAAGGTAGGCCACTGCTTTTCCGAGACCACTTGCCTTCAATGCCTCGCTACTTATTGGCGGATATTCAAGTAGCTGTTTCAGGAGTGCCTCCCTAATTTCCAGATGAGGCAAGCAAAGATTGGGCAAAGGTGCCAGCCAGATTGCTACAGAACTTAGAATTCCGGGATCTGATAGCGATTCTACGATTTCCAGTTTACCGAGTTTTGCCTTGACGTATGGTAGTTGTCGCATAACTTGAATGGCCGGTTTGTTTTGGCTATTCAATTGCCTATCTTGCTCAGCAGCTGTATTCATGACCTTTATCATTTCTGCGATGGCATCGTCGTTGTGATTAATGAGGTCAACGTCATCTATTTTTCTTTTCCTCCTCCTTCTTTCTTCCTTCTTCTTCGCCATCATCAGATCAAAATCATAAACAGTAGGCTCATTATCGGGAGCAGCCATGTTTGATGGTGGAGATGATGACGGTTCATCAATTGTTGGACGATTTTTGTTCCTCTTAACTCTTCTCCGTCTCTTTTTTACCACATCCTCAGCTTCGTGTGTTTCTTCTTTGTCAGATGAACCGAAGATATCTTTAATCAAGTCATCTGGTTTTTCTTCTTTTTTATTGTGAACGGAGTCAGCACTTTTAACTTGCGGCTCGTCGTCTTCATCAGAGGATATCTCTTCACCGAAGATATCTCTAATCAATTCTTCATTTGTTTTAACTATTTCTTCGCCGTAAAGAGACTCATCCTCTTTATTGAGTTTTTTATCGTAATTTTTATCATGTTTCCAACTTTCACATGCATTGTTCTTAATTTGTTCAGCCATGTCGACACTAAACTCGTTCTCTATCGTGATTTAGACTTGTACGCGTAGGGCACCTTACAGATAAGTTGTTAAACACAGAATGATGTGTTACTGAATATCTTCGGTTATTTATAGTAGCCAACCATAGACCAATATTTGTATTGGTCAACAGAGAGTTGTAAACAGAGACCCAACAACAAAGGAAAACTTAGCTTAAGTGTCAAAGTTGTAAAATGAATAAACTTTTCTCGAACGTGTCACCTCTCAATAACCAACCGATAATATTTTTATTATTAACAATCAACTAAACTTTAATTATAACTAACAATAACTTTAATTATAACTTCAATTATAACTAACAATAACTTTAATTATAACTTTCAATGATCAATCTAATTACTATGACATAGAAACTGATTAGATCACTTTGGATAACTTTCATCTAATTATCAATTAATTAATAAGGCGATTATACTTATTTCATTTTATTCATAAAACCAAATTTATTCTTTGCGTTAAAAATCATAAAACTTCATGAAAGTTGTAAAAGAAATATTGAAGCAATAAAATCATTTTACAACTAATCATCAAAGAGATTCACTTTCAGCTAAATCTTTCTCTCGATTCACTTAATATTTGCACGGTGAAGTTTATTCACTTAGTCGGGACGTGGACTCAAATTTGTCCGTTGCAAACAGTGTTACAATATTTTTCTTGGTGAACATGGAAGAACACAACAACCAACAATTAACAAGACTGCTCAACAAATAACAATTGATGAATTTTTAGAAATGTTTAATTGTTTTTAAAGATAAACAAGCACTCAATGGCAGATTGAAAATTAAGTGTTATAGACGGATCGAAAAATTTATAATTTCAGGTTGTCAATTGACTGTCAATAACATCTGTCACCAATGGTCTCGGTCAGAAAATTTGTGACATTTTGTGGCAAGATTTTGACGGGTTACGCAATTTTCATTGTTAGTTCTGGTATTTTTAAAATTAGTTCTGTGTTACGAGCGTAAAGGATGATATCGTTTTTTAGTTGCAATATTCGAAGCATTTTTATGTTTTCAAAAATTGAAATAAAACACACACTAATTACTATCATATAGAAACTAGTTAGATCACTTTGGATCACTTTCATCTTATCATCAATTAATTAATAAGACGATTATAATTATTTTATTTTATTCATAATACTAAATTAACAGAGATTACAGGAATGAGATACACTTTCTTTTCCTTGCAACGACAATTTCTGTTAATGTCCGCGTATTTTTGTCCTTGTTCCACAAGAAATCTATTTCCATTAATAAACTCACAACAGTTAAACCACTTGTTATACATTTGTTTGTAGCGTGTTTGAATAGTATAGCTCAATTTTAGTGAAAATCTCACAAACTCCGACAGATCATGTCCCATCTTATTTTTCATTTTTATTTTCTGAAACTTGACACACTTAATATCACAAAGCAAAATTTATCTTTCTTTTTCAAAAGAACTGACAATAAAATCACAAACAAAGTGTTTTATATGATTTTCTGTTTAAAACCTACCGTAGCCATTTCCTGTATGAAATATCGGTTATAACAGTAAATAAAAATTCGTTTCTAGGTTTAAAATATGCAACATTTCGCGTCTTTCGTCTAAACAATGGAATTGACTGTAATAATTTGCTGATAAAACAACCATGGTGACATTTATGACTGAAAAAATCAAACAACCAATTTTAATGGCGGTTTCCTTTGGGTGTTTGGAAAGGTAGGCCACTGCTTTCGTGTCACCCATCAATAATCAACGGATAATATTTTTAATATTAACAATCAACTGAATTTTAATTATAACCAACAATGATGTCAACATAATTATCGATCTAATTACTATGACACAGAAACTGATTAGATCTCTCTGAATCACTTTCATCTATTTATCAATTAATTAATAAGGCGATTATTCTTTGCGTTAGAAGTCATCAAACTTCATGAATGTTCTAAAGTGAATTTCGAAGCAATAAAATTACTTTACCAATAACTATCAAAGAGATTCACTTTTATCTGATCATCAGCTAAATCTTTCTCTCGATTCCTTTAATATTTGCACGGTGAAGTTTATTCACTTAGTTAGGATGTGGACTCAAATTTGTCCGTTGCAAACCGTGTTACAATATTTTTCTTGGTGAACATGGAAGAACACAACAACCAACAATTAACAAAACTGCTCAACAAATAACAATCGATGAATTTTTAGATATGTTTAATTGTTTTCAAAGATAAACAAACACTCAATAGGAAAATGAAAATTGAGTGTTATAGACGGATCGAAAAATTGATAGTTTCAGGTTGTCAATTGACTGTTAATAACGCATCAGGTACTTCAACCGCAACGTCAGTCCCACCTACCAGTACAACCGCCACTTCATCTCCAAATTATAATGACAACAACATACAAGTAAAAGACGTGAAAATGGTAAAAGACGTGTGTATTTTACCTAAAAAACATCAGAAAAGCTAGAAAAATGTTACCAGAGCCACATAGCATTTTCTTATCTTAACCAAGAAACGAGAGAATTCCTAGCCAGTGAGTGTGAGATCACTTATTCGCAAGTTACGAAATGGTTACGAAATGGTTCAGTAACAGGAGGAAGAAGGACAAAAATACACGTACGTTTACAGAAACTGTCGTTGGAAGGAAAAGAAAGTGAACCTCAATCCTGTAATCTCTGTTAATAATTCAATTTAAACTTTTTTCACTTATTGAATGTTTTATTTTAATATACGCGTGAAATTAATTTATTTTATTATTTAGAGGTGAGCTTGGGAACGAGAATTGCGAAAATCCCATGGAGAACCCTATATAACCCTATATAACTCTATAAAACTTTATATAACTATATATAACTCAATGGGAATCTAGAAAGAATGGCAGCGAAATCGCGTGAATGAATTTAAAATAATAGGGAATAAAAATTTTCGGGATGGGAATTCGGGAGAGAACCATAAATGTTACAAAATGCAGTATAAAATTTTGAATTGCTACGATGGAAAAACTGCATGTAACAGCATCTCATCCTCTCTTTCAATCATCATTGTAGAAATTTTTTCACAGTGTCTATCAATCAATCAATTAGTTTATAAAGCGCTATTTTCGCGATGTTCAATAGCGTTCCCCAATGAATTTGGCAAACAGATGGGTCTTGAGATCCGCTCTGAACTTCGTAAGTGATGGAGAAGTAGTCAAAGAAGAAGAAAGAAAGTTCCAGAGAAAAGGGCCAGAAAAAGCAAATGCAAGGGACATGTCAAAAAACAAGTAGTAAAACTGTAAAACATTTTTTGTGAAAATTTTTGTCTTTTCAAATCAACAGAAGTTTCCAGAAGTTTGTACCTGAACGCGTAGATTCCTGGTGAACCAAAAATTGGTGACACAGAGGATGATGGTACAGACTTTTCTACAGTTTATTGGCATACATTGACTTTGAACACCAACCATGTACTGGCATCTGTGCGTTCTCTACGAATTCGATATGACAATATAATCTCGTTAAATTAAATAAAATTTTGGAAATTAATGAAAAAATTGAAAAATGGTGAAATTTGAATGAAACTGAAAATGACAAAAAGAATGGTGTTAATTATTTTATAATCAAAATTTAAAAATTATTAAATATTTGTAGGCATGGTTAATTGTTCACTGTTTAAGTCTTCATTTTAGATTGTCTTGTTAGCTTGTTAAAATATAAACCCCGAATTTTACTATGCTTGTTGTTCTGTTCAATTATTAAAACTCAACTACCGAAGTTATGGCGTGATCGAACTTTCCATAGGCAAGAATCTTCTAGCAGCAATTTTCAATAACATCTTTCCATAATTTCGAAAATAAAAACTGATCTCGTTTAGACTGAAGGTAGACAAAAAAATGTGTATTCCTATTATAGAATCAACTTTTTACGCGCTGGCTGGAAAACTAGTTGAAACGTAGCACTTTCATTTTTGGAGAGGCCCCCTTTTGTGAAGATCCCGCGGCTTGCCCTGCTACCTGCCATCAATCCAGCTCTATTCACACGTTCTTCTAAACTTTATTTATCGTAACTATCAACCATAAAAAAATATTTGTATAGAATCGATTTAAATAAAAATATTAATTAATATCTTTTAAATTTTTATAGATTGTCATAAAAAGTTTCAACACCATTAAAAATCATAAAGTCGAGTTAAATTCAATAATTAAGCTGAACTTTCACTAACGCAGATAGACAATAGAAGCCAGTGTTAATTTAATTCCACAACTTCATTTATACATTCAATCAATGATGATTGTGACCTGACTAATTAAAAAACATCAAATAAAATTTATAATAAATTATAAATTTGAACTGCGTGCGCACATATGTAGCACTGATTACTGTTGTGTTTATAATGAATTTATATACTATATATATACAAAGCGAGCAAAATTTTAATATAAAAGCGCTTATAAATCTATGCATATTAGCTCAGCTTGGCTCGGCTGGCTTGGAATTGGATGTTAAGCAAGGTGTGGTCTCAAACTATTTGGAATTCTTGCAGAAAAATTTGAACTGCGTGCGCACATATGTAGCACTGATTACTGTTGCATTTATAATGAATTTATATACTATATAGTCTATATAA